AAGGTGGACAGCGTGTCCCAGGGCATGGAGGACTTCAAGAAGCGCCTCAAAAGGGGCTTACGAGGCATAGGTTCGCAGAACGAAAACATCGCCAACGAACTGCGCTCGCAGAAGGCCGAGCTGTATGCCGTCAGGAACAGCGTGTACGACTCTCGAGAGGAAACTCTGACGAAGGGCAACTTCATCATGAAGAAGGTCAACGACACCAACACCACGCTCGTCTCGCACCTGGATGACCTGCGGGTCAAGCTCTACAAGATCAACCACAACCTGGCGCTGATCTCCGGCGAGCATCAGCAGCTGATGGAGGTCGTGCGGCGCAACAACCAGCAGCAACCCAAGACCTACAACAGCGAGGACTACAGCGACAGGGTGCTCCCCGGCTGCACCTACACGCCCCTGGACACCCAGGATTTCGCAAACGTCCTCAACCGGACCTACATGAACGACACCTTCAGCGGCAGTTTGGGGGGGCTGGACGAGGAGGAGAAGGCGTGGGAGCCCGAGGACCACCAACTCTTCCCGACGATGCCCGAGGACTGCAAGGACGACAAGAAGAAGTACCTGGAGTACCCTCCGATGCCCCGCGACTGCAAGGACGTCTTCGACCTCGGCTTCATGGAGGACGGGATCTACCGCATCCAGCCGCCAAGCCTGTCGTCCAGAGAAGTGTACTGCGACCACCATACCGCAGGCGGCGGCTGGACGGTCATGGTGGCGCGACGCAAACTGCCCAGACACATTTCCTTCAACCGCACTTGGCATGAATACGAAGTGGGCTTCGGCGACCCCAGCAAAGAGTACTGGATCGGTGAGTACTGTCGTGTGTGCACGTGAGCGCTGGCTCGTGCCAAGCTATGCATGTAGATGATTAGTGACATAATCTGCCTCTGCACCTGGATTAATAACTTCTCTTTTGCGTCACCCTACGCTACAGGTCTGAAGGCCCTCCACGCCCTTACGCGGGGCCGCCCACACCAACTGCGGGCGGACATGGAGGACTGGGAAGGAAACACGGCCTGGGCCGCCTACTCCTTTTTCTCGTAGGTTCCTACACCTAGCGCGTTGCCATAAAAACAAAAACAAAACAACAAAAACTGATACTCAGACACCAACAAAAATCTTAATCAAAACAAAATTAATCACGGCCATAACGCAACGAACGATAATGCCAGCAACAGACGGTAATAAACACCGAGAATACGAACTCGGATGAACAGCAAACGTGATAGACTGTCGCTACACGTTTTATTACATGTATTACTCCGCCCCGAGAGCTAAAACAGATGCTTCCTCTCCATTGTGTCTCGTCCTCCACTTTAAATTATCCTGATGGCCTTTTTTACTGCGGCAGAGAGGCGCTTGGTTTTTTGTGTGGACAGAAGACCTTGGGGTAATGGGTCGAAACTTATTTTTTGTTTGATTGGCTGATGCGTCGAATGGGCTTCCTAGCAAAAATTTTGAGTAAAATGTTCGGATTATTATTTTTGCATATAAGTTCTATCTGAAATTTTAATGTATGACTGCAGAGCGCTTATATGTCTAAAAGAAAATAATTTACTCGTTCTTAGGTTACCTTGGGGACAAATTCAGGTCTTCGTTACGTAGTAATAATAATTAAAAGCTATTTCTATATATCGTTTTTCAGGACATAAGCATTTCTATAGTACCTATACCCTAAATTGTGAAATGAGCGGCACTGGTATTTTCGATAGATGCAAATAATCATAGAATCAAGAACCTCCTCCCCTCACCGAAATAAATAAATACATAAATAAAACGGAGTTTGCTCTTGAATACACCTGTCCCTACCTTAATCGATTGAGCCTGAAAAATAGAATATAAAAATACACTTTATATTGTTACCGCATATACAGCCCTAGTCACGTTATATGTTGAGTCGATTTCCTTTCACATAAACATTATATACCTTACTAGATATATGTGGTATTACTGATATATATATATATATATATATATATATATATATATATATATATATATATATATATATATATATATATATATAGATCTGCCGATAACGCTATTTTAGATTCCAAGATAAGTTTCCTTCACACCTAGTATAAAATTTCAAATCTCGTTCTGTAGTCATACTCCGTAGCGTCTTTATATTGTGAAATTGAAAAAAAATTGTTAGGTATATTTGTCACACACACACACACACACACACACACACACACACACACACACACACACACACACACACACACACACACACACACACACACACACACGCTGAAATACCGAAATACCCGCGTTGGAATCGTGAAATACTTCGGAACTGAATCGAACGAGAGTGCACGGACGGGAAGCCTCACAGCCTCCAACTCCCTCCATCCACAGAGTGAGCGGCGAAGAAGACAAGTTCAGGCTGAGGATATCCGGTTACTCGGGCACCGCCGGAGACAGCTTACGGCACTCGCACCTCCAGATGTTCTCCACCATTGACAGCGACAACGATCAGGAGAATTGTAAGTAGGCGCGGCGAAGAGGGATGTAGAATTAGGGGAATGAGTGGTGTGTAAGACCTGAATGGGGGCGCGATGTATGAAGGGACGAGGGGAAACCAGACAGACAGACACACAGGCAGACAGAGAGTGAGTGAGAGAGAGAGACGACGGAAAGGGCTGTAGAATTAGAGGAATAAGTGGTGTGTACGACCTGAATGGGGACACGATGTATGAAGGGACGAGAGAGAGAGAGAGAGAGAGAGAGAGAGAGAAGAGAGAAGAGAGAGAGAGAGAGAGAGAGAGAGAGAGAGAGAGAGAGAGAGCGGAAAAGAATGTTGAGAAACAGGGGAAACAGGAGTATGAAAGGGCTCTGCGGGAGAAGAAAAATGAATGAGTCGTAAGTCTTCGCTAATATCCCCTCCTGGCTTCCCCGCACGTGTTTCCCTGAGATCAATAGAGCGAGCTGAAGGTCTTGGTCCTATTCCCACACACCCGCACGCGAAGCCACGCCAGGGGCTCTCATGCACGACTCATGGCAGTCATGACGAATCAGGCTAACTTTACTCATCAATGAAGAAGTGTCTTTCGTTTCAGGGGGGAGCTGTGCCCGTGGACGAGGGGGCGGCGGATGGTGGTGGGGTCGCTGCGCCTGCACTCAGCCCACAGGTCAGTACCGCAGAGGAAGGTATCAAGGACCTGAGCGAGGCGTCACCTGGTGGCACTGGAAGGACTCCAACTATTCCCTAAAAACCCTCATCCTTAAAATAAGGCCTTTGGAGTAAACGGAATGATGTCTAAAATAAGCTGTTCCTTCTTCATGGAGTTAGGAGATGGAAAAATCATCACAGTAAAGTAGTAAGCTTAAAAGAAATATATATATATATATATATATATATATATATATATATATATATATATATATATATATATATATATATATCTTTGATCTACGTCACTTTAGGGTTCAATGTAGATCTCTTTGTGAACACAAGGGCTTCCATGCGTCCCAGTAATGAATGTCATAAGTTGAGTTTGTTCCAAGAGTAGTGAAACACTATTTCTAAACCATTCGAGTACGAACGTTGTAATTAAGATAAATTTAAGAAATATGCAGTTTAATGGTATATATTCTGTCAATAGGACAGAAAGATAAATTCAGAGACTTTAAAGAATAGGGTGAAAATCAATTGATCCCCTAATGACAGTATTATCGGCTACAAAATACGCAGTATTGTAAAAATTACAAATATACCTCGAGCCAGGATAAGGTTCTCTAGTGTGTTCATTTTGTGTTACATAGTTTTAAGTCCTTCGCGGAAAACACATATTGTAAGTAAAAATGACATATTTATAATACAATTCACGCTTATCCGGGAGATATAGTCTGGGAAAAGTTTTGCGTGTTTTGTTTACTGACCAGAGATGGCGCTGCAATCCCCGTGTAGCAAAGGAGCGGACTTCCTGAGTGAGGGAAGGAGGGAGGCCAGAGTTGCGTTGTAGGGATTCATTACACTGCATCAAACATGTTTGAGATCGAGGAAAATACGAGGCGTCATGTCACCCCATCCAGCGCAGCGCCATCTCTGGGCAATAAACAAAACGCGCAAAACCTTCCCGAGGAAAGCAGTCCCAGGCTGTACCAAGAAAGCTGCCGCGTCGTGCAGTTGTGTTTCTCCTTTATTAATCTTGACATCAAATCTGAAACATCTTGAGAGCAATACGTCTTCATGAGATTCACAAACAAAAATGCAATATCGGATGCAGTGATGCCAAAGAACAGTTTATATGCAATGTGTGTACACAAATATTATGTGTGTGTACATATACATATATATATATATATATAATATATATATATATATATATATATATATATATATATATATATATATATATATATATATATATATATATATATATATATATATATATATATATATATATATATATATATACATATATAATATATATATATATAATATATATATATTATATATTTTATATATATATATATATAATAGATTGATATTCAAATTACGCAAATACGTCAACTATGTTCATATCGCACTTGCTTTCTCACAACACACTTTTCAAACTAACGCTGCTTTGATCAAGGTAATTGAATGCAGATTTGTCACATTACGCTAGCATGTACAACGTAAATTACCTTATATTGAGAATTGCTTAAGTGCTGAGTACCTTAACTGGAGGTTGTGGATCACGTGGGAATGAAATCACGATAGGCAAAAGTTAAACATTCAGGCCACCCTTCAGTCATCGTCAGGTGCTGCACACACAAAAAATACAGAAACCAATATTTTTATATTCTGTGTATCACTTAAGGTCAATATCCTAAGCTGAAACATACTTGAACGATCTGCTATCCAGGGTGGCTTAATCCTAACGGTCTTGCTGCGTGCGTTACCCGTAGTGGTTGGTGTGCAATGACGTGTAATGTACACGTAATGTCTTGCAACCATACTATATACCACTGTATTGTTGTCCAAGACTAATTTTGGGGAAGTAATAAGGTCTTGCAAAGCGGTTTGGAGAAGTAAATTACAATGTTATTCGCACTTAAAGCCCTCTGGATGTTTGGTCGTACGCAAAGCGTTTAGAGTTCAAGCTCTTTCCAGGAGCTAATCTCTACTAGATAAGAGTTAAGATTAAGAACCTCCGGAGTCCCAAGTCATATTGAAAATCGGGGTCCATCTAGTCTTTAGTTAAAAAAATCAGTCTACATACTATTACAGAAATAAAACCGAGGTGTCACTGATAACCATGCCGCGGACCCAGGGTTCAGTAAACCATTATTTGTCACTAAAGAAACTGGAAGAGGCGAGGTTATTTTGGTAATAAGCAATTGCCACATCAGTGGAAAAATAACATTTATCTGGGGTGTAACACCGCATGCCAGAAGGCAATAAATTAAGTAAACATTTTTCTTTCACTGCGAGAGTAAACAGTCAAATCCCATTATTGCTCTACTATACATGATATCCAGTTTAACACAATAAAGGCACTGACTGTGCTAACGTATTTCGCAGAGTAACAAAATAAAAAACGACATAATGACAAAGAAGGTTGTGGAATGGTGCTATTACATAAATCTTGCGATCCTTGCAGGGTAAATGTACACTGTTGTCACTTAAGAAACGGGGATGAAAATCAGTTGCCAGTGGTTCTCGTTTTCGCCTTTGCTGTACGGTGTAGAAAATGCCATCCCCTTAATCTTTGAGAAATATTGGCACTTCCTTCATCTGAACGATGATCCTTAAAATGATAACCCTAACGGATTGCTAGCTCGTGTTTTTCCTACGATCAATGAATGAAAACGATCTGAAGAATATAACGGCGAATATCGCTAGTTTAAACAAAAACCAGTGAAAGGTTTGAAAATTGCAGTGTTGATTAACGAAGAAAAAGTCCAAAGAAAATTTGCGATTATAGATTGTGATTAAAGGACCGCAGACACAGGAGATTAATTGGCCCATGAGCTGATTATACCAATGAATCCTCGCAACTTCACTGAATATTATCCTGGAATCCAATTATAAGGTCCAGCCAATTACTTGAAAATATAGGGAAGATAAGCAGGGAAAACAGGAAAAAAAGAAAAAATAACGCACAAGGGGAGCTTGCCATAATATAGGTTAATAGTTATTGATTGCACTGATAAGTAGAATAGAATAAAGTAGGCAGTTTAAAAAAAATACCTTGTCCTCAGTAATTTAGCAAAGGATGATTATGAAAGACCCTATCGCCGTCGCTTTCCTTCTGCCTAAGTTCCGTAGAATTAGGTACATTGATAAAGGAAATGTATTGCATTAAGGCCAAAAAAGCAACATAATGTGCAATCTTTCTGCTAAGGATGCCTCAGATGCATTTTCGCAAGTACATTAAATCATGTGATTTTACGGGACCTGAGCTAAGTTCATAGATATTTCGAAATGTTCCAAAAAGAGATTATATAAGGAGTCTATATATTACGGGGATTATCCTCTGATAAATTATATTTGGCATTCAAAATCTGCCGTCCTCAGTTCGATGTCCGAGGTAATTTACATAATCTTATCTTGTTTAGACTGTTCTCCAACTTTCACATTTCTAATTTCCCCCTCTTCTTTGAAATCTATTAAATCATTATACTTTTACCATTTTACGCAGTGTGACTTTAATTCTAAAAGGCCCTCGATTAAAATTTTGGAGTTTTTACCTTTTTCGGTGTTGGACAGACATCTGAATCCTATTCCTCATTCTGGGTCGTAAGAAGTAATATTTACATGGATGTGAACAAAAAAGATGAAATATATTTTTGTAGCTTTCGCATGAAAGGATAGTCGGCACAGAGACACTTGTGCACAATATTTAAATGATGAAGGGGAATTTCTGATTGCAATGTCTCTGAGACCCGTATTATACTGATACAATACTTTGGCGTTAAAGTCTAATCTAAATTAAGGATTTCTAATCTGTCACCTTCTTTTGCATATGCGATGTGCAGCACACCAAAGAGAAAGTTAAATGGTGTCTAAATCGAAAATAATATTGCATGAATGGAGTTTGACACGACAATCACACGTTATCAAAAGAGACAGAAGTACATATCTAACGTAAGAAGTAAATGGAAATATAAGTACCACATCAATACATAGATGCTAATACGGTTCCCAGCTCACTTGATCTGAAGGGGAAATTTCGCGAAAGGATTGGTAGTAATAGATAGGGAACCTGTACGAGAATAGAATATCAAATTGAATATCGTACGTCAGTTGAGATCTTCTTAGGGGCAACTGATAAGTCAAAAGAAAAAAAAAACTTGGTCTCTCTTATCACAAACGCTGAAACTGGATTTGTGTTCGTTTATTCAGATCATTGCACTGTGCATTGCTTCTTCTCTAATAACGAGGCCAAATTTTGTTTGAATAGCTATTGGGTTCAACCTGATTCGAGCAGAATGTTGACCGTTACCGACAAGAGCGACGATATGCATAGATGCTGACGAATAAAAAAATGCTACCTTTGTTTC